AAAAAAATAAAGAAGTAGATAAGTATTAGTAGGTTTAATTTTCAGGAAGATTTAGCATGACATATTCGGTATATCATTGGTGTTAAAAATGGTAAATTGCCAAGCACAGTGGCACATGCCTGTAATCCCAGCCACTGGAGAGGCTGAGACAAGAGGATTGCAGGTTCAAAGCCAGCCTCAGCAAAGGCGAGGCACTAAGCAACTCAATGAGACCCTGCCTCTAAATAAAATTTAAAAAATAGGGCTGGGGTTGTGGCTCAGTGGTTGAGTGCCCCTGAGTTCAATCCCTGGTGCCTGCCCCCCCCCAAAGGTAAATAACTTACTACCTAAGGCAAGAGAAGGGGCTGAGGATGTGGTTCAAGCAGTAGTGTGCCTCCCTGGCACGCGGAGCGGCCCGGATTCGATCCTCAGCACCACATACAAACAAAGATATTGTGTTAAAAAATAAATATTAAAATTCGCTCTCTCTTTTTTTTTTTTTTAAAAAAAAAGGCAAGAGGAACACAAGTTCAAGGTCAGCTTTAGCAACTAGTGAGATCCTGTCTCAAAATTAAGAATAAAAGGGCCATAGATACAGTTATCATTGTGTGCCACCACACCTGGTCCTTCTTGACATATTTGACACAGGTCTGGCTGTTTTACTCTCATAAGATGAAGTTGTAATGAAGACTCTTCTGAGAGGGCATGGGGAACAGTTGAATAAAATTTGGTACAGCCACGATAATGAATACCATGCAAGTATTGCATGTATATCATGAAAGTAAGCCCTGTTGCTCATGTTGGTACATCAGATAATGCCTAGCACATTTTTGGATGAACTAAAGAACAGAGGTAGTTTTTTGTCTCTGAGTTTGTCTCCACTAGTGTTGAGATGAATCATATTATTGCTAGGAGTCATGTTGGTTGTTTTGGTGGCTATTTGTTTGGTTTTCTTTGAGATGGTTTCTCACTGTGTTGCTCAGGCTGGCCTTGAACTTCTGATCCTCATACTCCAACCTCCTGAATAGCTGGGACTATAAACATGTGCCAAAACACCTGGCAATAAGGAGGTAATTTTAATTATTTAACTTAAAAAACCTGACACTTACAAAGCAGTAAATAAATAGCCTCACAACCTTAAAAAAATAAAGGAGAGCTAGGTGCAGTGGCACATGCCTGTAATCCCAGCAGCTGAGAGGCTGAGGCAGGAGGATCCAGAGTTCAAAGCCAGTCTCAGCAATAAGCGAGTTGCTAAGCAACTCAGTGAGACTCTGTCTCTAAATAAAATACAAAATAGGGCTCGGGATGTGGTCCAGTGGTTGAGTCAATCCCAAGTACCCCCCACCAAAAAAAAAAAAAAAAAACTTGTAAAAAATAAAGGAGAAGCGGAGTTTCCATACAGCTAATTGAACTGCAAAACAAGCATTAGAAGAACCCAGAGTTCCTCACAGTTACTACCATGCCACTTAGTACATCAATACCACATTAGTAGAGGTGACAGTATCTCCCATGCCCTCTCCAGAAGAGTCTTCATTACAACTTTATCTTATTAGGGTAAAACAACCAGAGTGTATCAAATATGTCAAGAAGGACCAGGTGTGGTGGCACACATGATAACTGTATCTATGGCCCTTTTATTTTGAATTTGTGGCAGAATCTCACTAGTTGCTAAAACTGACCTTGAACTTGTGTTCCTCTTGCCTCAGCTTCCGTTTCTGGGATTACCCCCAAATATGGCTAACTTACTTCTACCAAGGGTACTGGTTACGAACACACGCTTAGGAGCCATCCACATCCTGCTTTATGAAATGCTGTCCTTCCAGTTACTGGTTCTATGACCTTTTATCAGTCACTCACATCTGAGCCTCAGATCCAGAAAATGAAAAAAACAGTGCCTTTCTTTCAACTTCATAGGCTCTAATGAAAATTATATGGAAATATCAAGTATGCAGTAAATACTTTATGTATTATTTGTAACTGTCCCATCATAGAAATATTCCAAAGCTACGGGATTCTTGTGGCTTTTTTCCCCTGGAGAGGAATAAGGATGCTAGGGAGTGAACGCAGGGCTTGTGCACATGCTAGGCATGTGATCTACCACTGAAATACACCCCAAACACCCCCTTCACTTGTTTTTATCCTCAGGGGAACATCCAGGGATATTATGCCTCCCAACACACAGCCCCAGCTTGATGTGGACATGGGACAAGAATATTCAAACAGGAAATAAAAACACCTCAGTGGCCAAAGGACCTTTCCTCTTCCCTGTTGCATAGAAATTTAATCTTTGATTGGACTTGTCTATCACTGAGCCAGAACAAGAGATAAGTCAGTGAGTTGGAAGGTATTTGAGGAACAAGACTAGCCTTCTCTCCAGGTAATTCCAGCTGTGATCCAGCAATGCGTGGTTAAAAACAAGGATTAAAAGTCTGAGATAATTCACCCTCCTTTCCATACTAATTTATAAAATGGGGCATAAACTTAATTTTATGGTGGAACCATGAGGTTTTATGCATGAAAAGTAGTTAACACTTAGCCTCCTAACACACATAAATCCTGGGTGAGTGGCAATTACCCACCTCTTCAGGCTGGCTGGGGGCAGGGTAACAGGGAGAACCAAGTGTCAAGAGACTCAAAATGAACTCTGGTTTTATCACTAACCAGCTATGGAAACCAGAAAAATTTTTTTTTTCCGCAAGCTCCAGTTTACTGAATCACTTTTAGAAGCAAGGGGGTTCTATACATGGGGACAGGCACTATAAGATTAAGTCCTCCTAGGTCTAGTCATCACTGGAAGACTTGAGGTCTGTTAAGAAGACTTACAAAGAGTACAAAACACCCCTGCAGGCACCTCAACCTAACCGGCTGGCCAAGATTTAAACTGGTGGTCTCCAGGGGTGGCTCCCTGCCCCCCTCCCCAGTTCCTTTCCAAAACACATAGTTTGAATTCCTCTCTTATCAGATAGGTATTCGGTGGCTTGC